ACAAGCAAAATGCAACATGATTAAGTCAAATGTAAATGCCTATAAGCCAAGCAAGAGATTAGTTAGTGCACTATAATCCATTTACAAAAAGAGACAAGTAGTGCACGACAGTCTACCTATATAAAGCAACGGACAACTCTATTCAGAAGCTGTTACGCCATGCCATCGGATCCACAACACTCATATAAGTGGACAGAAGGCATGTTCAAACTCTCAAATCGAATGTTATACACGTTCAAATGGCAGTTGCCTGCATAACTAAAATATCTAAAATGCCGTTGCACATGCACCGTAATTTGTATACACATAGGTACACAAAAAAGGAGCAAGGGCTTTACCCTCATGGGCTTCTACAAGCATGTTGTAGCAACACATGCAATGTCAAGGGATGCTGCGTGGGTTAATAAATTTGAACCCGATCTTCGTAAGAATGAAAGTAGGAGTCGACAATGTTCAACAAATAATTATAAAAAGCCTCCAAATACCCGCATGGTTCCTGACGAGAGTGTTATGTATATACATGTGACGTCTAAGGATGCTGCGCAGGCAAAATGATGAATCTAAGTTCGAACCCGATCCTTCTCGATACGGTTTGAACCATTAAATAAATATACGGTCACGATGTCAACCGGGATATTTATTTTATACATTCATATTAGGCCTTTAAAATTAAAATTTATCTCAGCTCACATAGAGCTAGTGCCTAGTCAAAAATATCACTATGATCCATTCTCAAACAATCTCCTGCCAATAAGGACGTGGTACGTGTCTTCTAACCGGCGGTTTTGCCACCAAATGACACCGCAGGATAAACGGTTATGACTCGGGTCCCTCTAAAACGAGTGGTTTTGCCGCCAAATGGCACCACGAAATAGCGGTTATGGCCAGAGCCAATACGTTCCTTAGTGGCATCAAATCCTTGAGATATGAATTAATAGGATATGATCGATAGGGCATAAATCCCTATGTTAGCTAAGGTGGATTCAAATTTGTCCCCTTAGACAAATACCCACCCAGGTCAACAAGGTTCCCTTGGACGAAGCAACCCATGGCTGCCGACATGGATTCTTCTATCATGTTGGGTCGACTACCTCCTCTAAGTAGACCAAGGACCATGATGATACGGGATGACGGAACAATGGGATCTTGATCGGGTCCATTATCCATTCCCCCACCATCCGCTTTAAGTGTAAGGTGATGAAATTTTCTATTTTAAATATCAAACTTTTCAAATTCTCAACTTCAAACCTAATTCTCAAATCCAAACCCATGCAGCTACTATATGCCGGATACTAGGTATCTACGGATACGTTGTATTCACTGACGACTAGCCTTAATCGAAAGTTCACTCTCGTTATCAAGAGGGGTAATTAACTATAGGGGCTTGTGCCTATAGAAAACCAGAACTCAGGTCATAAAGTCCTCGCAAAATGAGGGTGAAATCTCTAGGTAGTGTCTTATCTACAAACCCATATGCCTTCCCAAAATTTACCCCGGAACATAATCCGTTAAAACTCCCTCCTCTAAAAGAAAAAGCAAAAGCAGGCGGAGGCCGTGGCCAAATTTTCGGAGCCCACATAAAAAGTATGCAATGTTTATGTCATGAGACACCGTAATTAGGGGTCTTCTATCCCACCATACAAATAAAGGCTTGCATAGGTCTTTGTATACTAGTTCTAAATTTGTAGTATTACCGAACATATGGGAACAACACACACAAGTGCTTAAATTTGAATTTTCTCGACATGCTAAAAAAAGCAAGTGACTTAGAAGAATTAATACAAAATATACCTCTTGAAGAAAGAGTTTTTATTGGAGGACATTTAAATGGACATGTTGGTAAAGAGGTAGTTGATTTTAAAAGCATTTGAAGTTATCTTGAGTTTCTCCCATTGCAAAAAAATGCGCTCCAATTCCACTTAGCACACCAAACGTTTTGCAACCGAAATTTTGAGGAATTTAAGTGGTAAACATTTTATACATGTGCATGAGGTGATGACGATGAGACAATAAGTGCCCAACAAGTCGACAAGGTTGAATGCAAAAAACTTTTTTTTTCTTTCATTTTTTCTTTTATGTTTCTCTTTTTAGAGAGAGAAAGAATGAGAGAGGAACAAGGAGGGAGAGTGAGTGAGAGAAGAGATAAAGAGAGATAGAGGAAGTGCAAGAAAGAGGAATAGGAGAGAATATGGGTTTGGGAGAATTGGAGAGAATGTGGGTTTGGGATTATTTTTTCATTTTATTTTAAATTTTTAAAATAATAATAATAATAACTATTATCATTATATATTGATTTTTTTGGCATACTCACATCATTTGCATGCATCGAGATCACATCATCACCTCCAACACATGCCTTTTTTTTTGGTGCAATGACTTAGGTGATTGTCTAATTAAGTGGTTTATGCTACCCCAATGCATCAATGCAATCTATTTCGTAAGCAAATGCTATTCGGGCGATTTCAACTTTTCGTCGATGAGTTTTGAACATCATTTAAGTGATGTTACTCATCGTTTCCATTGTATTTGATCGGGTTTACTTCGAAATCATCATTGAGGTCAACAATGATATACTTGATTCATATATTTTACTAGGAAATAACCATGCCCATATAGGGTATACAATATATTTTATCCTAAACGCCAAAGGTACTTGAAATGAGTGTAGATCCCTGGACTTAAGATATTTGAATCTTTGCAGCATAGGACAGCCATGGTATCAGCAAGCAAATAAGGGCAAAAGCAAGTATTTTCCTTTCTGCATAAAGATTATCATGCTTAGAGACTGTTCAACCATGCTAGTAACCCGCAAAGAATCAAGCTCATAAGACCTAAGGTTTGAGGACAGCCGAACGATCGTCAAGACTTATGACCTACCTTATAAGAAGAATGGCCCACCAGTAGGACCCTGCCTTATAAGAAGAATGACCCACTTGCACATTTCCTTGAGTTTTTCTTTGATGATGATTGTGATAATGTCTTGGCGAATTTACATGCATGTAGAGATCAATCCTAGGAGTATTTATATTTGAATTTAAATTCACAATATTCATGTGTAATATCTATTGCATTGGTAATTGGAGCATACACCGCAAAGATTTAAAGATGACCCTAAAATTGAGATTTGTGGCTTAATCCTATAGGTAGGCACCTCTAAGAGCTTTCAATTTTAATAAACAGACAACATAAAATCCTAACAAATATTTTGATGAGATAAGTGCTTAAATTATCGATCCTCAGTTTGGAAAGGAAAACATTGATTTGACTGGAGGGAAGAAATATGTAATTATCATTTTATGTTATGGATAATGATAAGGATATAGGACATGTCAACACTTATAGCCAGAGCAAATTTTATAATTTTGTGTTTTTTGAACCATTTTTAGAATTTTTTTTACTTTTATCCAAGGGATTTTGTATTTTTATGGGTGAAAGAATAAGAGTTAAATGCCTTTAAATGCTACAAGAAGGAATCGAAATGCTCAATTTAAATAAGATTTTGGCTCTTCGCAGGACACAAAGGAGCAAAAAGGATACATGTAGCCGACCCCATGTAGTGAGATTAAGGCTTGTTGTTGTTGTTGTTTATTAATTTTTCCAAATATTTTGGAATTTTACTTATTTTTGTCTTTTTATCTATTCTTATTAATTTATTATTTTATTTATCCAAAAATATCTCAAAATACTAATAGCCATCATTGACCTTTAGCTTTGCTTAAGCAAATTATGCATAGTGGTGAAAAGTTCAAACCAAAAAAATGAGTTTTGTATGCATTTTAAAGTAGCTTATTAAGAGTCAATTTCATCAAAAAGTATTGAGCAACATTTTGAAGCTATTATGGTTTCAATTTTCATTTTCTCACAAGCTACGGTATTTTTAGTAAAATGCATGCAATATTTCTTATTTTTGCAACGCAAAAAAATATCATTGTGCAAGTTCATTTTTTGCTCATTCGTGCATGCATCTAAACACGCATATGTCCGGGTATGAATTTTTTGTGACCTTTTATAATAATACTAAATATTTTATATTTAATAAATACCCATACGAACCAGGTTCCACAAAAGATAAATCTACACCTATAAATAGTCACATAAGAAATTTTTGTTCAATTTTGAGTTCGTATTGCTTGAAAAGAGGCGAGCCATTTTTGTCTACATTCAATAGTGTATCACAAAAACTTATGTTTAAGTCCATTTTGTCCATTATTTTACTCTTTTATATGACTTACTGTGAGTCAGATGTTTTCTTGTCATATTTTTCAAAATTTTAATTTATTAACCTTTTTTCATGTTATTTAGTGTTGTTATTTACTGTTGTAACTAACTTCACATTCAAATATTTTGGTTGAAATCGAGCAATGAGGGGAGCAAAAGGTCATATCGCCAATCCAATAAAGATATTATGGGTGTGGAGCACAAGATACTAAGACCTAAATACGTCATCCCATCCCACCAGTAAAGATATTTAAGGTCAGTGCAAAAGCTTTGTATGAATGATTTAGAAATCTAGGTGCTATGAGGCAGTAAGACTGCTACTAAACTATCTTGCAAAGAACTTGGAAGAAGAGAGGCTGGGAGGGAAAAATAAAACAAAAGAGTTTAGAGGAAGATGGAGAGTTTGCCAGAGTTGAGTAGATAATGGGAGTGCAGGAGTAGCAAAGGAGGGAGGAGAGATTTATAAAAAAATTGTACTATTTTTTATTTATATATTTTTTAATCATTTATTGCAAATTTTAGAGAGAGCCTACCGATATCCTTTGACCTTTCTCATGCAAATTTTTCCATGTTGCATCCTAGAGTAAGATGGAGGGCTCCATGCAAACCAAGATACATCTGTCCGCAATCATTGGCACTATTGGGATGGCAGATTTGGTCAATCAGGCCGAATGTAGCATATAAATAGCATATGAATTTAGATCAGCAATTTCATAGCGTATTTATTTATTCCTCAACCATAAAAATTGCTCAAAATGATTCAACAGTATGCATGTTATCACCTAGCTGTGAAGAAAGGCCGCTGATGTATGCATCAAGTTCATCCTCTCCATGGTTTCCTTTCTCATTAGAAGCAACTTTCTCTTTCTCTTTTGCAAGCAGCTCTCTCTTTTCCTCTATTTCACTGGATATAACTTCCATTTTGTCAAGGAGGGTATCAGCTGTTTCAACTGACAGCTGTTCAGCAGACTTTTTAGCAAAAGGCTTCTTCTTTGTTCGATCATAAAACTCATCTTCATCACTGCAACAAGAGAAAACTCATAGAGAAGGAACAAAAAAATAAAGTCTTTCTACTAAGATCTGATTGTATTTGTAGAAAGTGGATTCACTAATTAATTCAGAAGGATTCACATTAAAAAAAACGTGATTAGTTTAAAGACAAGGTTGTGAAAACCCTTCATGCTGGGCCATCATTATTACCCTTATCCCAGCTATTCCCAATCATCTACGTAGAAGCTTTTCTATGAAGAGGCGGTGCTTGCTTGTGGAGAAGTGATTTTTTTTATTCTTTCTTTTTGCATCCAAAACAAGCTTGATTACACATTTTGAATGATGCCAAGAAGATATTCAGGAGATGAATCAAATGTCTATAGCTTCAACTTGATGCGTAGACAACCCGTGATAGTAGAGAAGGCAGCTGCATCGCAAGCAGCCCATAGCTTACGCGCAGATCAATAGTGATTTTTACGTTAATATTTAGAACTCGGTGGGTACTGCAGGTTCTGCTTCTCCACTACCCTTCACTATGAGAACCACAATGGCCCATATAAAGAGCATTTGTACTAGCTTGCATAAACGCATCAACGTAATAACAAAAACAATTTATCCCACTATGTAGGGTCGGCTATATGAATTATTTTTCTCCATTGTGTCTAAGAGTTAAATTTTCATTTAAATTTAATAAAAAAAGTCATTTCTAATATTTTCTAGCCGTCTTTTTAGGTTTACCTGATGTAGAATGGACGGGGGTAATTAAAAAAAATTAAAGAGCTAAAATTCCATCTCATATTTCCCTAAATTAATGTATTTGAATTTGAAATTCAAATACGAAAAAGAGGGAGGGAAGAGAGGAATTAACTATCTCCTTAATTGGGGCCTTTAATTAGGAAGGAAATAATTATGATAGAGGGGAGAGAGAGGGCCGGCCAAGGAGGAGGGAGGAAAGATGTCCAGATTCGATATGTGTCCACATTCATTGAATAGAGTGAATTAAATTCAAATTCAATCATTTAATTCAGATTTGCACTAATTGGTGAGAATTTCCTAAAATAGGTGTAAAATATTTAGGAAAGACTTTAAAATTCAAATTCATTTGAATTTGAATTATGAAATCTTTTCAAATAAGATAGGGGCTAAATTAGGAAGATGATAATGGGGTAATTGAATGATTCTTTAATTAGAATCTTAAATTAGGAAATGGATGAAAGACCTTTCAAAATTTAAAATTCAAAATTAAGAGATAGAAGGCAATTGTGTAATTAATTCAAATTAATGAGGGAAATTCAAATCTCAAATTGCTTTGAATCAAATTAGAAAAGTAATAAGAGGATGATTGGGAATTGGAGCCTTGGAGAATTGGTGGGGTGGCTGGCAGCTAGGCTAGGGTGCATGGCCGGCGGGTAGGGAAAGGGGAAGGGGATTGAGCCCGGTGTTAGGTGTGGGAATGGAACTTGGTCGGCGATGGGGAATGGGTAAGGTTGGCCGACGGTTAGAGGGGAGGAGGTGGCGGTTTAGGAAAAATAAGGAGCATAAAAAAAGAAGAGAAGAAGAAGATAAAACCGCGAGCCTGAACGCTTCCTGCGGCTGACGGGTGATGTGTTGCCCTTCACCAAGGGACTTCAAGCCACAAGCCCGGACCCATCCTGCGGCTGGTGGAAACTACGATTTCCTCCAATAGGGATCTCACTAAAGTCCTCTTGAGGAACAAAAGTGCAGAACAAAATTTTATCAAAACTCCATCATACCATTACACTAGCAAAGACCTCTATATATAGGCCTCTGAAATAAAAGAATTTAAAATAAGACGATCATGCTCCTAGGGCTTACATAAGATTAGACCCTTAAGGGTAAAAATGGAAAATGCATAATTAAAAAAAATACAAATAAAAATTTAAGATAACGTAGGACGATCACGACCGCTTCAGCTCCTCCTCGGATAGGCATGGACGGTTGGATGTCTACATCATTCTCCCGGGGTGGAAAAGAGCTCGACTCCGTCAAGTTCGCTTCCCGGGTGAGCAATCATGCTCTGATACCAAACTGATGTAGAATGGAGGGGGGTAATTGAAAAAAAAAATTTAAAGAGCTAAAATTTCATCTCATGTTTCCCTTAATTAATGGATTTGAATTTGAAATTCAAATAAGAAAAAGAGGGAGGGAAGAGAGGAATTAATTATCTCCTTAATTGAGGCCCTTTAATTAGGAAGGAAATAATTATGATAGAGGGGAGAGAGAGGGCCGACCAAGGAGGGAGGAAAGATGTCTAGATTCGATGTATGTGTCCACATTCATTGAATAGGGGGAATTAAATTCAAATCCAATCATTTAATTATGATTTGCACTAATTGGGGGGAATTTCCTAAAATAGTTATAAAATATTTAGTAAAAACTTTAAAATTCAAATTCATTTGAATTTGAATTATGAAAATTTTCCAAATAAGATAGGGGCTAAATTAGGAAGATGATAATGGGGTAATTGAATGATTCTTTAATTAGAATCTTAAATTAGGTAAGGGATGAAAGACCTTTCAAAATTTAAAATTCAAAATTAAGAGATTGGAGGGAATTGTGTAATTAATTCAAATTAATGAGGGAAATTCAAATCTCAAATTAATTTGAAATTCCCAAATTGCTTTGAATCAAATTAGGAAAGTAATAAAAGGACGATTAGGAATTGGAGCCTTGGAAAATTGGTGGGGTGGCCGGTGGCTAGGCTAGGGTGAATGGCCAGCGGGTAGGGAAAGGGGAAGGGGATTGAGCCCCGAGTTAGATGTGGGAATGGAACTTGGTCGGCGGTGGGGAATGGGTAATGTTGGCCGGCGGTTTGAGGGGAGGAGGTGGCGGTTTAGGAAAAATAAGGAGAATAAAAAAAAAAGATAAAACCGCGAGCCCGAACACTTCCTGCGGCTGACATGTGATGCGTTGCTCTTCACCAAAGGACTTCAAGCCTCGAGCCCGATCCATCCTGCGGCTTGTGGAAACTACGATTTCCTCCCATAGGGATCTCACTAAAGTCCTCTCAAGGAATAAAAGTGTTAAACAAAATTTTATCAATACTTCATCATACCATTACACTAACAAGGGCCTCTATATATAGGCCTTAGAAATAAAAGAAATTAAAATAAGACGATCATGCCCCTAAGGCTTACATAAGATTAGACCCTTAAATAAGGGTAAAAATGGAAAATACATAATTAAAAAAATTACAAATAAAAATTTAAGATAACGTAGGATGATCACGGTCGTCGATCTTCAGCTCCTTGAATAGGCATGGACGGTTGGATGTCCACATCATTCTCCCGGGGTGGAAAAGAGCTCGACTCCGTCGAGTTCGGGTCCCGGGTGAGCAGTCATGCTCTGATACCAAAATGATGTAGAACGGAGGGGGTGGGGAAAGATAATAAGATTAAAAATTTGAAATTAAATTTCAGATTTCTTATAATCAAGGGATTTAAATTTTGAAATTCAAATAAGATGGAGGGAAGGATAAATAGGTGGTTAATTATTCTTCTAATTGAATTCCTTAACAAGGAAGGAAATAATTAAAATAGAGGAGAGAGCGGGGTCGGCCTAATGAGGAGGGAAAACGAAAGGTGTCCACATACAATGTATGTGGATCCATGCATTAATGGGAGATTGGAGAGTTAAATCTGAAATAATTTCAGATTTAAAATGATTGAAGGATTTCCTAAAATAGATGTATGTTATTTAAGAAAGAATTTAAAATTCAAATTCATTTGAATTTGAATTCGAAAACTTTCCAAATAAGATAGGAGCTAATTTAGGAAAGTAACGATGGCGAAATGAAATTGGAATCAACGTATTAATTAATCAATCAATTTTGGAATTGATTAATTAATTGAATGAAAGAGGTTTCAAAAAATAAGGTAATTAATGAGGATGGATTTGAAATTCAAATTAGATTAATTTGAATTTAAAATCTTTCAAAATTAATGACAAATTAAATAAGGAAAGAAGGATTTTTTTTTTTTTTTTTGAGGGAACTGGGGCTAGGGAAGGATGTGGCTGGCGGGTGGGTGGAGCCATGGTGGATTTCGGTCAAGGGGAGGGGGAGGAAGGGAGGGGCTGGTGTAGGCTGATGGTGTGGAGGTGATGAGGGTGAGAGAATCAATGCCTTGGTGGAGGGTTTGAGGAGGTGGTGGTTTAGAGAAATAAGGAAAAACAAAACAAAAAATTGTTCCCGTGGCTTCTCCTACCCGTTTCCTGTGCTGATTTTTGGGAATTGTTTTGTGTTGCTTGCTCCTTTCCCGTGGCTACTTTTACCCAAAATTTATGTGATTTTTTTAGTATTGTTTTGAAATAAATGCAAGGCTCTTTGGGTGTTGTATTGGTTTTTATGTGGTTGTATGGTTCCCCTTTCTTTACCTATATATAAGAGGTGTTTGTGGTTATTTTAGAGTTTCGAGGAGTTGATGAAAGTAATTTTTGGAAGAAAACCTTTATGTTTTGTTTGATAGCTTGCGAGCTATGTTCCTTTCTCCTTCTTCTAGGATAACTTGCGAGTTACGTCTTCTTCGTCTCGGCCTCTAATCTCCTTCCTGTATCCGCAAGTCCGACGTCACTTGTATCTTTCTTATCAACTTTTGGCAAGCAGTTTTAGGAGTTTATGTTAATGTTTGTGTCGTTTGTAAGCATCAAATTTTGTAAGTCCTTTTTTATTATAAAAGTAAAGTTATTTTTGGTTTATTTGTTGTATTTTGACTGGTTTTTTGGACTTTTGTGTATCTTCTATTTCCTAGGAAGCTTTAGTTTTTGCTTGCAAAAACTTGGGGCTTTTCCCAAATTTTTGCTTGCATCATTCTTCATGCACAACTCTCCATGCCAGCCAATGGACAACCCATAATCTTTCCAAAATCATTGCAGAATATTTAAAAAAGTTTGATTTAAGTCATCAATTAGGATGGTCATTCCAACAAGGTAGCAAAAATCTTCAAAAATTGCAAGATTCTAAGATCACTCTACATGTCTTATTTGACCAATCCGAATTCTTATGTTTTTGAATGGTTTAAATTTTATTTTCTCTTCTTTTCATTCCTTTTGTATTATGACAAGTCATCAATCCACATAATAATATTTTATTGCTACTAAGGCTTTTTAAAATTTTCTTGGCTTAAAAAAGGCCGATAAATAAGACCTTAACTTATACTTTAGATTCATTAGATAGAAGTAATTGTTTTTCATGTGCAAATTCATGTGGAAAGACTTGATGTTGCTTAAAGCTTAGGGGTTGTTTGGATTAAATTAAAATAAGTGTACAGTATTCTAAATGCAGAGGTTTTGAGAATATTTGTGTTTTGTTTGAAGTTAAAAAAAATACAACAAAAAATTTTAGTACATTTGAAATTTACCCTCTAGTTCATTTTTTATGTGTTTAAAATTCCTCGTATTTGAGCATGTTTTAAATACACCATAAATTCATTGCCATTGTTGTCGCCCGCTGCCAGCCATCCACTGCTCACTACCAGCCAGCATTGTCACCGTCGTTAACCACTGACCACGACCGGCGCCACCGACTTCGGCCAACTGCCTCCACCACCATGGTCAGCCTACACTGCCCACTGTTGCGGACGCCGATCACCGCCACTGTCCACCACTACTAGGGGTGTCAATTTTTGACACGACCCGGAAAAATTCCGGGTTAGGGTCAACCTGGACCCGAAACGGATCGGGTTCGGGTTGACCCGGCAACTCGAAAATGACCCGAAATTGACACGAAAACTCCTATTTGACTCGGAAACCTGAGATTAACCCGTTTTTTACCAGATTTTAACCCGAAAATCAAAGATTGACCCGATTTCTGACCCGAAAACTAGTAATTTTAGGTCAATTTCGGGTCATTTGTGTCGGGTCGGGTTCGGGTTAACCCGAACAGTGTCGGGTCAGTTCCGGGTTCGACCCGAACCTGACCCCGAATTGACACCCCTAACCACTACCCACCGTCAATCGCCACCACCCACTATAGGCTGCCACCCACCATCGGCCATAGCCCACCACCCTTCCACCACTTATGTCGCTGACCACCGCACCCACCACCACCGCTGCCACCCATCACATCTGACCACCGCACCCTTTAGACTTTACATTGCACTCATGTTTACTTTAAACCCAAAAAAAAATAATTGCATGCATTCATTTTACACTAATCCAAACAACTCTAAAGTATTACTTTTATACTATATTTTATTTATATTGTATTCCTTTTATATTGTATTTTTTTTAGCCAACCAAACAGCTCCTTAGTAGCTAATCTCTCAAGGATTTTGTGAGTTCTTAATTATCTTTTATCTCCCTTATTCCTTCTTTTCTCAATATAATTCCCATCTCCTCTGTATAACCTCAACCTAACTTCTCTCAACCCCGAAATACATCCAATCTCTTCAAAACTCTCCCAAATATTTCCTCACATCCCGCATAACATTCCAAGGCCCTATAATACACCAGCTAAAGCCCAAAATAGAGAGACAACATAAATAAAAATATCACTAGTCCTTAATCATTAATTCAAAATTCATAAAAACAACAATATTAGTTTCTCAACATCTTAAACCGTTTATATGGAGTTCCTCCCCCTATTCCTCTAATAAAAATTTATCATTTGATAGCATAGAAGTTTCAACACAAAATATATCCAAACCCTTATAACCCTTTCTCCAACACCATAAAAGAATACCAATCAAGTTGCTACTTTCATCATAAAGATCATATATACCTTACATCAAGCTTGCCCCTTTATTGCTTATGGATGTGAACATAAGACAACAAACATTTTTGAAGGAATTTTTTAGAAAAATTTATTTGTGGGAAAAAAATCAACAAGATAATTTACGAGATTTTTCAAATCAATCTTTCTTAAGGGTATTCTATTAAATAAATATTTGGAGGTTAAGACTGCTTCTCAATATCCTTTTGGAAGAGAAAAATTCTAGTAACTTCCAAGTAATGTCAATTTTTATTTTTTGATACCCTATTTTGTTGAGGTGTTTCGGGGCAGAGGATTAGTGGATAATACCTTCTTTATAGGGGAAATTTGATTAGCATAATATCAAGCATTAGTTGTCCAATTTTTTTAAAATGCTAACTCCAAATAAGTTTTTTATCTTAGAGATAAAACTTGGAAGAATATGACTAACATCAATTTTTTGTTTCATAAAAATAAACAGGTGCCATCCAAGTTTAATCATCAAAAAATGTTATATATCTTTTAGCTCAAAAAATATTAAGAATTTTTTAAGTTCCCCAAAGACCTGAGTAGGTTAATATAAAAGGGGTAGATAATAATATAAGGGTCCTTAGTTATCATTAACAAAATTTGATGTGTGACAAAATGGTAAATTGCACAAAAATATTGTCAAATAAGTTCTGTAGAAGTCACACATGGATGTTGTTGGAGACTGTAAAACCTTTTGGTTCTTAAAAGAGCCTATGAACTCGCCCAAAACCCATTAGGGTAGACTATTCTATGCGTTTGATCCAATTAAGCTTTCTCATAATAGATTTGAAGGGCAGGGCCAAGCTTATAGGAACACGAGCCAGTATGGGCATTCTGAGAGGCCTACCTTTGCACTCACCATTGACTCCGGTATAAGTGGCAGATCCCCCGTTGCTTCATTACAAATTTTCAATTCTCACAGTCTCCATTTAACAAAAACATAGTAACCACACCCATCTTTAAATAAAAAGGATAAAATACCTCAAGGTGTTTTCTTCCTCCACAGCAATTGCTTTTGCTCTGCCACCAATTGACCTCCCAGCACGAGCGCCTTCACTTTCACGAATACTATCATTTAAAGTTTCTTCCAAGCTATCCAACTCTTCCATTATCTACTGATGCATACGCAACAAATTGCCACTTTATAATGCATGTACATTCCAATAAATACAAAACATAAATGGTAAATAAACGATTTATCAAACATGAACACATTCTAGGAAAATAATCACCTGAGCGATTCTTTGTTCATTTCGACCAATCTGCATTTGCTGACCTTGGGTTAACCCACCTTGTGAAATATCTTTTGCTCGAATGGCATTAATCTCCTTCTTCATATTGGAAATCTTTTCCCGCCAAAAGCACCAGAAGGATTAAAGGTTGGAAAATCAATGATTAATAATATAGAATGCCCATGCATTAACAATAAACAGATAGCAGAAAGGAACACAAAAGATAATAAATAACATCATAATCAAAAACAACACCTCAGCATAGATTTAAGAGCAGTATTATGGTCCTAGAAAGTGTTAGTAGTAAAAAAAATATGGACTTACATTGACAAAAAACCAAATGAAGAATTAAAAAATGCCTCATAGAAGGAAATTTCGCAGATATGAAAAATAGCATACGGCCGAGATAAACTGATAATCTACTGCACATGAACCTGAGTTACCGTTTATGTAAACAGGATATTGAAAACAAAGCAAAACATCCTATGCACTTTTCAACGTAGTTTCTTGCCCTGTAAACACAAAGAAACCCATACTAGCCTTTAGTCCAACAATGACACTTCTATATGGCACATCTAATCAATCAATAAATCTAAATATCAATCTCTGCTAATGTGCATAAAGCCAAAAGGTGGGCAGACTTTTTATTCCTATTGTTCTCCTTGCTTCAAACTTTCATACTTGCATGATCCTCGATGCACTTACATAGTGCATTTGCACGTTCATTAGTACGCTTGCACGGTAGACTTGTTGAACACGTGGACAAAATTTTATTTCAAATTCAACTCACTAAGTATTTTCTTTAAAGGTTTCGAGCGTATAAGAGTGCTCAAAATAGTGGCAGAAAGATTCTATGCTCCATGTTCATTATAAATCCATTGTAATCCCTTGCAAGTTAATGTTTGTTCTCATTTTTGCAATTTCACTCTCATTTTATTATTTTTGCAATTTCAAATTTAGCTTAACATCATTTTAACTTTTAATTTATGTTCATAACCACTTTTTTTGCCCTATTTGAGCCTCTTGTCAGTGTAACATTCAAGAACCTCTCTGTCTTTCACACGTAGAGGCATTTTGGCAGTCTAGGCCTACCCACATGCTAAAAAAGACGTGCATCATCAATATCGAAAGACACCTCGGTAGGGGTCTCAATCTAGCCATGTCAAGAAAGGCGAGCATATGTCTTCGTCTACCTACTTGAAACTTGCAATATTTTTGTGTCGTGTCAAGAAATATGTGCAAAAGTACTTATATTTGAATTTTTCTCACCGTCCTAAGCAAAGCTTGTAGGGGCTTAACCATTGTGTCACAAACTTCGTCTGCAAGTTCCCCTGCTATCATAAGATAAATTTGCAAGGGTTTTGCTCATCATGCCAAAGGTGTTGCATTCATGATTTTGGCGATATTGAGAGTTGAATATTTAATTCTTATGCATGTGAAATCATGACAGCAATGACAATGCGAGCAAGAGCATTGAGATTTTTTTTCTCTTTTTTGAATTTTCTACCTTTCTTTGTAAAGAGACAGGGGAGAGAGAGTGAGAGAAAGCAAGAGATAGAGAGAGACAAAGAGAGAGATATATATATAAAGAGAGAAAGAGGGGCAAGAAAGAAAAAGAGAAACAGAGAGATATACAGAGGAAGAGAGGGAACCAGACAGGAGAAAAAGGAGAGGAGCAAAGAGGTGGTTGCAGTGCTAAGGACGGGGTCGAGAAGGTGTTGACTAATGTATAATACCCAAAGAAAAGAAATGAAAAAATACCTAATACCCGGTGAATCCACGAAATCATGCCGAAATCCCGCTCGATTCTCTGTAAAACGGCGCCATTTGCGTCATTTCCCGGAACTCCTGCGTGAATCCTGCGATCCTCTCCTCGATCGAGCCCCGTTCGCCTCTATAAAACGAAGCCGAACCCACTACTCTTCCACGCTGCTTCTCCAACTCCTCCACACACACGAAGCTCTCGGCTCTTCCACACTCGCTCTCTGCCTCTAAGTTGACCGGAAACTCACGATCAAGCTCCGTCTTCCTCCTCCGATCTCCCGACCTCCAGTTGCACGAGAGAGAGAGAAAGAGAGAGAGAGACCTACCCGAGCCCTTCTCCGATCCCTTCGTGGCTGTTCGGCTCGGCTCTAGCAACAACTTCCCTTTCCTGTTGGAAAGGAAGTTACGACATTTTGATTGGAAGCAACCACGGGAGCACGCTGACAGTGAAGTTAACTTTCTCCCTTTTGCGCCGCTACCCCGACTCCCCCGTTGCTGCTCGACGTCGCTCTTTCGTCGACGTTCCTTTCCTGTTTGATCGGGACGCAAGAACAGGAGCTCGTCAGCTGTGAAGGTAACTTTCTCCCTTGTCACGCTCTTATTCGGCCAAACCCCGTAACTCAGCCAAGCTAGAGAGAATAGAGAGGGAGAAATTAGTTTTTTTTATTAATTATATTAATTAATTTATATTAGTTATAACTAATCTAATAATTATTTTCTTAATTATAATTAATTAATAATTATACTAATTATAATTAATTATAATTAAATATTATTAATTATTATTAATTATGTTTAACTCCTAATTATAATTAATATGTTAATTATAATTAAATAGTTAAGCATTATTAATTTTGATTAATTATTTAATTATTTATTAAATTATAATTATTATAATTAGATAACATTAATTGTAATTAAATATAATTAATAGATTATTTATAATTAAATGATTAATTATCATTAATTTCAAAAAATGCTTGCTCTCTCCCTCGATCCTCGAACCGACATTCCTCGCGAAGGTATGAAGTCCTAAACTCAGATTGTCGTTTCGTTGTATGCGGCGGACCGGAAAACCGCCTATACACGCCTTTATTGCGCGTGGTGGGATGGGACCCCGGTCCGACGCCTACGACGAGGCGGGAATCGCCTAAACTCTACTTCGGTGTTCGTGGCGCACCGGAAAACCGCCTATACACGCCTTTATTGCGCGTGGTGGGAAGGGACCCCGGTGCGGCACTTACGGCGAGGCGGGGTCACTTATAAGTACCCCCGAGCGGGGGGAAAGCAAATTGTGTCACTCATAAGTACCCCCGAGCGGGGGGAAAGCAAATTGTGTCACTCATAAGTACCCCCGAGCGGGGGGAAAGCGAACTGTGCATCTTTTAAACAGGTACCGTCAGAGCCCCATACACGCCTTTATTGCGCGTGGTGGGAAG